TAATAAACATAGCTGGACTGAATTGGCATTGTCTCTTGGATTTCCTTGGGCTAGGCCTGACATCAAGCTAAGAAAATGTTTGTCTCCCTGAGCTTGGCCTTCATAATTCCATTCCATCACACCCTACCATTGTTTATCTTAACAGCAATCAAGGCATATGATTAAATTATAGTAAGAATGGGTTCACCTAAAAAGATTAAAAACATACCAGGAAGAATCAAGAGTCCTCCCCCAGCCCAAAATTAAATGACTAAAGACCTAGCAGGAAGGGCTAACATTCCTTGAAGCTGTAATCAAATCATAAAAAGATTTCTTCCCCAAAGGGATCTGCATTCCAATTAGACAATACCTGATAAGGCAAACATAGGAAACCCCAGCTGAGTAGGGTGCCTGATCTTAGAATACTTCCTAGTCAATTTCACCGGCGAGCGCTGTCTCTTGGAATCCTGGTTAATTACCTTGTCTAAGAATTCCTAGAGAGCGGGCCTTCCTTCGCACCTTGCAAGGAACAATAGTATTTTCCCTATGAAAGGAACTCCTGGGGAAATCCCAAGCGCGGCCACCTGGACAGCTGATCGTTTTGTGTATCTGGCTTTCAGAAAATAAAGTCTTCTCTCTCCTTCAAGCAACCGTCTGCGTGTTTATTCCTCGCTTGGAGATGAACCTCGTAAGCTTTCTTTCTAACAAGATCAAGAATTAATGGGTGCTGAATGAATGCAGACTGAATATGAATGGGAGTGACCAATATGAAAGGAGTACATTGAGGTGGTTTGGTCATATAGAGAGAATGAATTAGGATCAAATTGCAAAACAAATAAAACAAAGGAAAAGCGAATGGGTTAAGAGGAAGAGGAAGTCCAAAATTGTGGTTGGATGGAGCTGTCCAGTTCCTCAAGAAGAGAGAAGTGAGTAATGAACAAAAGTAATGAACAAAAGGCAACGTATGAAGTGGTATATGGACATGGTAGAATAATGGTTTGCAGAAAGGTGAGAAGAGGTATAGTGACTGGTTTTGGTGTCACTATACCTCTCCACACCTTTCTTTTTTCTTACCTTATACCATTCATTTCTTTGGCTTACTATTTTTACTTGCATTCTGCACTTTGCAAAATGTAATGGGTATGTCTGTACATATGTATAAAATAGATGATTGTGACTTTATTAATTTGAATCTTAACTAAGTAAAACACTGATATACATGCTGCAGAAACACAGGAAATAATAAAAACCCTCTAATTTTAAATGCAATCTCTAAAAAGGTAAAAGAAAAGTACTATAAATTATTCTGAAAAATTCTCTAATGGGACAACCAAGTCAAAACCCTGCTGTTGCAGAAAGCTTCTGCTGGCATTTATTACTGATAGCAAAGACTGTTGCCCATACTTTAAGTCTCATGGTAAGCCCTGGTTTCTCCAGAAAACATTCCATAAATAGGATGGTAGCCTCCTAATTATGAAATGCCCCTCCTATCTTTGAATTTTGCAGGGAATACTAGATTGTAATGTATTCTGTGATGTATGATCACATCACTATTTCTCTATCCTTCCTGCAACTGCATAGTGCCCTCTGTCAGCCCTTTTAAGGTAACCTGCACCCTTTTAGGGAAGGATGAGTCAGTGGCAGCCCACTCTGAGTTGTTAATAGGAGACTTTGCAGACAAAATCACTCTCATTAATTAGGTGTTTTGTCTGACCAGCTGGACAGAGTCTAACAAGATGTCAGGGTTAATATTGTAAGAGTTACATTGGTTGCCAGTTTGTTTCTGGGTTGCAGTTCAAGATGTTTGTGATCACTTGCAAAGTCCTACATGGCTTGAGGCCTGGCTATCTTCAAATCTGTTTGCTATAAATAGAAATTGATGATCCAAGGCATGTGTGTAAGAGAGTACTTCCTGAAAGTCCCCACACTGTATGAGGTGCAATGACAGAGTACTTAGAAATGAGCATCCTCTACAGGTGGTCCCCACCTTGGAATGTACTCCCACCAGATATTAAAGCCAGCCCCTCACTTCTAATATTCGGCAAGGTTTTAAAAATACGGCTCTTTAAAAATATGTTTGGGGACTGAGGTGAGGATGAGAGATGTACCTGAGTTGGGATAAACCTGGTTGCTTTGGTGTTGTAAGATGTTATAGTTTTTATGATGATATTAGTTTATGATGAATGTAGGTTGATGGCATTTGTTATTAAATGATATAGGGATAATTTTGAATTATTATAATTTTTTCCCACCAGTTGGTGATGTGCTGAGCAGGGAGGGCAACAAAGCTGAAGGACTCAGTCAATCACTTGCCTACCTCACACGGCACACACATAATCAGGACATCGTTCATCAGTGGCTCACAACCGATGCAGGGTTGGGCCTGGCAACAGAGACGACAAATTTCATGTGGGTATTGTTTTCTGCTGACTTGATCCATGGAGAGTCCCTTAGCCCAGAAGTTGGGAAAGGCCCTGAAAAGACATCCGGTGAAGCTACGTATTTCAAGAAAAAATCAATAATGGTGAGAAATCTGACTCTCATTACTGAACTTCTATGGAGGATACCCCTGAAGAATAGAGTGCAACAACTGCAGTGTGGGCAGATAGTATATGCTGTAGCCAAAGCGATGACTGCCTAAAATGCAAAGGAAATGCAACTGCCGGATTAATAACAACAAAAATGTGTCATGGTCAACCACCATCTTAATCATAGAGCATCTGTTTGTTGTGTCACATCTGCAAACAGTTACAGGAAACCACTTCTAACTACAGTATGTTCCAAACACATTTCCCTTTCTGTTGCTTAAAGAGTTCTATTTTTTCCTTTTGAAAATCTGCATTCTCTTCCTAATGTGGTTGGTGTTAGGCTGTTAAATCTTGCTTTATTTTTGCAAATTTTCTGCTCTAGATAGGATATCAGAATCTTTAAATTGCAGCTGTGGAAGATTAGAATTTTTCACTATGAAAATGAGAGCAAACAAGAAAGGGCCTAAAAACGCATAGAAACGAAAATACCATTTGTAGCATGTGGCCTCCATGCAGCTTGTACAATTTCCAGCATAGGTGAGTATATTGCAAACCATTCTCACTTTGTCTTGTTAACAGGCTGCACCACTCATCAGCGTAATGTAATGTGCGTCTATGTAAGATTGGGTTTTTCCTGAAGAATTTTCTGGAATAATTCTGCCATCAATATAGCTTACCAGGTTATTGAAGGTATGGGATTATAACACTTGGCAATATTCCAGTTAAATGCTTATTTGGGCTTTTGGACACACTGCAGCGTGTTCTCTTTCATGCTAAAAAGAAACTAGAAAATTGCCTTTTAAATGTACTTTCCTACTAATAGGCTTTGTAAATGCATGAGAGAACAGTTCAGGCAAAAGGAACAATATGAATTTAATTTGCCTTGTAAGCAGCATGTAGAAATGTTACTAAAATTGTTCTTCCTTTTATCTAAAGGCCACTGCATTATAAATATACATAACTTCAGGGGTGATAGATGGTGATGGCAAGATAAAAAAGCTTGATTTGTGAAAACATGTTACTGTCCTACTGTTAATCCATGTTAATGAATAGATTTATAGACTAACCAGACTAAGAAGGCTATAAAGACTAACAGTAATTTTTGCACAAGCTTTAATTTATTCCGCTTCATCAGGATTATACTGTATTATCTGACAAAGTGCTCTGTAATCCACACAATCTTATATAATAATACATTGGGTCATCCTTTAGGTGTTACAATGTAACATTGTTAAATGTAATGGAAAACAGTAAAAAGATTACCCCTTAGAAATGTTTTCTAATGTGCTAGCCAGAACTCTCACCCACCCAGATGCACAGGTTCTCTTCCTGGCATTTTTGTATAATTCTAAGCCTTTTACATATGATTCTGCCTCACACTGCAAGACAGGATCTGGCTTGTATGGCTACAAATGTTTGAAATTAGTTGATTTTATAACACGCCTCCCTCGATACCAAGAAACAAGAGCTCAGTCAATCTTACTGCACTGTAGCTGCATCATATCCCCTCACCAAAGGAAGGGCAGTCCGTCTTTCTGCAGGCAAAAATCCTGCACGGGGCCCAGCTTTGCAGCCTAGGGTTAATTACCCCAGCTGCTACCAAACCTGAAGATTTTCCCTTCCCCAATAAATGTGTTATTCTGTATTCATGTGCATATAAATATAGGGTATGTGAAATATTTATTTATTTTTGATTCATTTCATAACTCTATTAACAATATAAAAAAGAGCAGGGCCAGGGCAACTGTCCACTAATATATTAATTAAATAACTGCCGATTAAAATAAATACAACTAACTCCCTGTAACATGAGGGTTGTAATTTATCCCAGTAATTGATTCCCATCAGCATATATCAGGTATACTTTCTTTCCAGGGGTGTCTGCTTCAGTTGCAACATCGGAGCTACCATCTTGATTTTTTTTAATACACCCTGAAGATGCCTCTGTCTCTCTCACACACAAACCATTCTACAGACAGGTGCACCCAAGCAAGTGTACACCTTTCTCTTCCCAGCAAAAAGAGGGGGAAAAGGGGGAGGGGAAGAAACAGTGGTCCTGGACTCAAGAGGAATTGGCTAGCTGACAGGGAAGGGAAGGGAAGGGAAGGGAAGGGAAGGGAAGGGAAGGGAAGGGAAGGGAAGGGAAGGGAAGGGAAGGGAATAAAATTATAGGGAGATGAGGATCATCACACTGAAAACTCTACCGGATGTCTTCAAATGCTAGCTGATTAATTTATACCTCAGTTTAGGTCACTGAAAGTACCACCAAGGGAGTATGCCTACCCACCAGCATCCCTTGGTGACTCCACAGCTCTCTCAAAATGTGTGAGTCCAAAATTGAGTGGTCTTTTTTGCATTTTTAAGAATTGGGGGAGTTAAGGGGCAATGGTTACATTAAGATTTGGAGATGCTTTAAGCGATCTTTTTCACCCTTTAAGTGTCTGAACTTCTCAGAATGTCCCCATCCACTTTCAGTGTGTGGGCTTTGATGTGCCATACAAACCCTGGGGTGAACCTCAAGCTGAGGCTTGTACCTCTAATATGGGTTAAAATTGTTGTTGGTCTAATGAATAATTTGACTTGTCAGTGTGAAAAGACATTGCACTTAACATATGAGCACAGAGTAGTAATACCATCTGGAGACAAATACATTGGTGCTGGTTGATGAAAGCCTTGATTTCTCTCCCTTTATTTATTTATGGTTTAAATAAACTAAAACTAAGTTTTAGTTTAGTATTCTGTGTGACCAATCCAATTACTTTGTAAACCATGGTTTGTTCTTTAGTGCAGAAACTGGTTTATTAGTAAACCATGATTATGACTTAGCTCAATATGTTGAACCCAGCTGGTGAGTATGAATGTTTTCTGAGAGAACTATTTGTTAAAATCTCTGTTCATCCATGTCTATATCCATACCTCCCTGCCCAAGCCAGCTGTCCCACTTGCCAGGTGTGCAGTACACCTTTTCCTCTGCCTACAGAAGCAAGATGAGCCATCACCAGAAACGCACAAGCTGCCACCTCCTGCTCTTGCCTCCTCCTCTTGTTTGTATTATTTTTTCCTCTCTCATTATTGGCTTTGCCTTTCCCATGTGCTTTTTCTTCCTCTCTCATCTGGATATTTGTAACTGTGATGGAATGTAATAGTGAAGGCCAAGCTCAGGGAGATAAACATTTTCTTAGCTCGCCAGAACCGTGTGGGAGGAACAAGAGGATG